ACACAGCTACATGAGTGTTGGTACTGGGATTTAAACCCAGGCTTTCTGACCCTAAATACATTTTTCTTTATATAACATTCTCTTAACTAGACTAAGTGTATGTCTTTGGGAAAACCACTTCACTTCTTCGGGATTATTTTCTCAACTATAATGGAGATGGATCATCAAGGCCCTTTCTGGCTCTGCCATTCTATGATTTATGGAAACCCAAAGAGTTGAAGCAAATGTGTATTGAAATTGAAAGACCTGCTTTTTATCTTCCACTTATTGCCTGCATGACCTTAGGCACATTACTTCTCTAGGCCCAAGTTCCCAGTTTGTCAAATCTGGCATGACATACATTCCCTCCTCAGTTCCACCTTTCAAAAGATAGCTCAAATGTCACCTCCTTTTTGAGGCTTTTGTTAATTCTCTTAAAATTACAAGTAATAATTTTATGTATATTTACGTGTACATGTTGCCTACCTCTACGGAATGCAAGCTTCACAAAGATAAGGACTATTTCAGTGTTGTCTTTGTATCCCCAGTGACTGTCAAGTTCCCTCCCAGCTCTAAATCTATAATCCTATGACTTTTCCACATCACACATGAAATAAACTGCATAGCTAGGACTAGAACCCAGGTCTGCTGATTTCCAGGTCCTGTCTCTACTACACCAAGGCTGGAAACAGGTTTCCTGACAAACCACTGTTAATTCTCAGGAAATGAGCTGACTTTGGTCCCATACTTATATGATTCATGACCTGAGACATGGTATAGTACAGAGCAAAAAACTCCAATGAGATTCGAATCCCAGTTCTTTCACTCACTAGCTGTATAATTAGACAAGTTATTTCATGTTGCTGGTGCTTTGGTTTCCTCATCTGTAAATTAAGAGTCTGGATTTGATAATCTCTAACTTTCCCACTCCAAAACTAAATCTACTATCCTAAAGTGGAAAACTTTTTTGTCATGTACATCTCTGACTTTGGGCTGCTCCTCAGAGAATGTCACTGGTTTGATATTCAAGGTTTTTCTAACTTTGGCCAAATATTGTGCTCCATTGGCATAGCCTTCAAGAACCATCTTCTTCTGAAGAAGAGGGCTTGAGGTTTACACTCGAAGTAAATAGAAATGGGGAACTTTCCCCCTTGGGAGAAAGCAATAAACTTCAATTTTTCCCAAAGCCAGTTGCATGGATCTCCCCTTTGCCCCCAATACATTTGTATACGTATGAATCATTTCCCCAAGAAGTAGAATCTAAGTAGAATGAAGGCAAGACCTGCGTCATTCAGTCATCTTTACAAGACTACACCTGCCACAGGGCCTCACAAGTAGTAGATGCTTTTTGTCAAACTGTATTGGAATCAAAGCTGAAAGGCACTCAGATCACGTAGAATTTAGTCGAATCTCTCTTTTTATTGGCAAGGAAACTGAGGCTTACAGAAGGGGAGTGTTTTGTCCAAGCTCAAAAATATTAAGTGGCAAAATTGACAGGGGATTTTTATTATCCCAACTCCTAGCTACAAATCCAGTATCCTTTCCTCCCGTTTTGGAAGCTTCAAAAAGAACACGTCCACTAATGAGCGCTTCAAACTTTCGGACACTGGCAGGGTTTTCTGTTTGCCCTTTCCCACAGCCTACAAAAGCAGCTGACTTTGTAGATAGGGACTCAGGAACCAAAGCTGTCACCCCATTCCACCAAATGGAATTGCCCTCTTGGGCAACAAAAATTCATTTCAAGGTCCAGGGGTGGGAAGGAATAGATTTCGTATACAGAGTCATAGAATGGACAAGACCAAGTAAGTACACTGCTTAGAGATTTAATGTAACCCATTCACTTTAGAGACGCAGGAAAACAACTGACGCGTCATCCCACACGGGAGGAGCAAAAGAGGGGTACAGTTGGGATCATCCCCTTTCCACCACTTATTGGGCTCAGGGACACGCTCCAGGCAGGAAGGGCTGGAGGACCAGTTCCTAAGCGGCTCCTCTGCTCTGGCTCTTTCGCGCATCCCGTGGGAGCAGGATGGGGGCGGGGTGGCGGATGACCACCATCACCTCTAAAGAGGGACGCGTTTGAGCCAGAAGGCCAACGGCCTGCAGTGCCCCAGGTGCAGTAGCCCCGCCATCCTCACCGGCCCGTCTCCTTCTCCATAAGCCCTTTGCACTGTCTCCGCCACCCCCACCCCATACCATTTTCGGGGTTACTCACGCAGATCCGCGGACCTCAGTTCTCTGCAACCCTTCGGGGCCCCTTCGCTTGGCTCTGATCTACCAAAGTCAGCACCCGCACCCGAATCCAAACTTGCAAGATCACCCGATGCGTGGGGCCCCTTGGTATAGCCAGCCTCCCCCGACGGACCTTACGCAGCAGTCCCGGCTCCGAGGCGTGGGACGAAGGCGGAGCCACAGAGACTCGGAGGCTCGTGAGCGAGCCCCACCCACGTGACGTCCGGCCCAACCCGGCCCGCGCCACTCCTGCGTGGGGAGGGGGGAAGCCTCGAGGGAGGAACTGGACTGCACCAAGTGGTGGAGTGGAGGAGACACCGAAGGGAGAAAGCCGAGGGCGGAAATGTGGAATTCAGTGTCCATCCTACAAGCCTAGGCTGGGGGCGACCGTTGCGCTCACAGGATAATAGCTGTAGAGCTAGAAGAGGCCTTAGAAACCTTCCAGTTTAGTCCCCCAGTTTTACTAAAAAGGGGAATGAGACCCAGGGAATTGTAGCGATTTGCCTGAGGATCACATAGTTTTGTAAGTGGCAAAGGCCGGGTTCAAACCCCGGTCTGCGATGATGAGGTTGGACTGGATGGCCTCCGAGGTCCCTCCCGGCCCTGGCGCTATGGGCCTGTGAAGCCAAATCCAGCACGCCTTCCCCGAACCCCCTCATTTTACAGAGAAGGAAATGGAGGCCCAGAGAAGTCACACAGGTAATCAGTGGCAGAGCTGCTATGAGGAGCTGCGTCCGCTAGGAGGCGCAGTGCATAGAGTGCTGCGATTAGCAGGAAGCCTGATTTATTCCGAGTTCAAATTCGGCCTCAAACACGAACTAACTCTGTGACCTTGGGCAAGTCACTTAATCCTGTTTCTCTTAGCTTCCTCATCTGGAAAGTGAGCTGGAGGAGGAAATGGCAAACCACTCCAGAAGTGTCGAACACGACCGAACAACGTTATTTGATGGCTGTGGGCTTTTCTCTGCAGCATGAGCCTGTTAAAGTAAATGCTGTACGTGCTTCATTCATATCACCAGTTGATAAGAGGCTTTGGAGGGAGGGCAATAAGAAGAATCATTTGCAAGCAGCCTAAAACATGTTAAGAAAATATTCGGAGGTGGGGATAATGCGGTTTAGGGGTCCAGGAACCCCAAAATCACAACATGTGAGTCCTGCTGGAAAGAATTTGACCCAAGCCTTCTTTCAGCCAAAGACAATGTTTATTAGGACATTGTCATATTGGGCAGACTCTTAAGGAGTCTGAACATGAGTAAAGCAGTTGCTAGATTATCAAAATCTAAGCATCTTAATGGAGACAAGATGGACCTTATATACAGAAAGATTGTGGGAGGGATCTAGGAGAGGATCTGAATGGGAGTGGCCAATGAGCTGGGGTGGGACCTGGACAATGGAGCCCATCTAGAATTAAGTGTGGGAAATGGCCAGTGGCCGAAGGGAGGTAAGATAGTGGAGAGGAGACTGGGTGTAGCCACAATGAAAGGCCAGTTGATGGAATTATAGCCTCATGGGTTGGCCAGAGATTTGCCCATGTGGGAAAGTCTGGGTTTTTCCTTTCTGGGGTGCAGATCCCAGCCCCATCAGGGAGGGGAGAACTAATCAAACAAAATCTTGCTTTTATTAATGAGGTTATTTGGGTTTAGAATTTATGTTTGAAGTTGTCTTCAACCATTCACAGATGAAGTTCCCATCTCCAGATTCCTGAGGTCTATGCATAGTAATAGCTCCCATTTGTATAATGTTTATGGGGTCATACTTTAGAGTTGGAAGGACCTTGCAGATCATCTATGGGGCCAGACCAACCTCCTCATTTTTCAAGTTAGGAAACTGAGTCCCAGAGTGGCCAAGTGACTTGTTCCAAGTTATAAAAGTATTAAATAGCAAAACTGAAGTTTGAACACAAGTCCTCTTGGAAATCTACTATTCTTGGGTCAGCTAGGTGGCACAGTGGATAGAGCACCCGCCCTTTAGTTAGGAGGACCTGAGTTCAAATGTGACCTCAGACCAAACCTTTGAGACTTATTAGCTGTATGACCCTGGGTAAGTCACTTAACCCCAGTTGCCTTAAAAAAAAAATCCGGTATTCTTTTCACTATGCCAAACTGCCCCCAGAAAATTTACAAAGTATTTTGCTGGTGATAATGGAAATTCATATTTATACAGCATTTTATTAAGTACTTCAGGGCAATTATTTTACTGATTCTCACAACATCCCTGTAAGGGAAGTAAGTATTACAAATATCATTCCCAATTTACAACTGACTAAACTGAAGTCCAGAAAGTTTGAACAATTTGACCAAAGCTAGTAATGGTTGGAATGGAATATGAACTCAGGTCCACAGCTTTTTGTTGCTTCTTCTACAACACAAGAAAAACTCAAGCCAATTGCATATTCCTTAGTACTAATCAGAGCAAGTTGTTATGTAGGAATTGTGGATTAATAGGTCCCCCCAAATAACTATGGGATAAACAAAATATATAAGTAAGGGGTATAGGAATTTGTAGTAAGGCTCTGGACTGCCCAAATGTTACACTGCAGAAATGTAGTGTCACCGGGGCTTTCTCCGGCCTATGGGACATTTTGAACTAGATGCCTTGTAGACATCTTAAATTCATTATCTTTTCCTCGAAACCCTCCCCCTCTACTTCTAAACTTCCCTAGGACTAAGAAGAGCATCACTATCCATACTGCTAGTCATCCAGACTTGCAACCTAGGTGTTATTGTCTGCTCCTTATTCTCCCTGGCTCTTCCCATACCCAAATTGTTGCCAAGGGCTGTTGATGTTACCATAGCAACACTTCTCTCCTCCGATACTGCCACCACCTAGGTCCAGGTTCTCATCACTTCAGTGCTGGGCTGTCATACTCTGCTGGTTGGTCTCCTGGATGTGAGTCCTTTCCCATTACGTGCCATTCTTCAGCTGTCAAGGTGATACTCAAAAAGCACAAGTATAAACATATCAAGGCCATCTACTCAATAAGGATGTCTAAGGGTTATCACCTCCAGGATCAAATATAAAATCCTCTGGCATTCAAAGCCCTTCATAACTTCCCTCACTCCCCCGCCTGGCCCTTACCTTTCCGGACTTCTTACGTCTTAACCTTTTCCCCCAAATCTCACACACACCTTCCCCACCCCCATTCCCATCCTCTGTGATAACAGTGAAAACTGGCCTCCTGGCTGTTCCTCAAACTAGAACAGGTGTGGGGAACCTACAGCCTCTAGGCCACATGTGGCCTCTGGGCCTTCAAGTGTTTGAAGTTATCAGTCATATGAGGCCATAGGTTCCCCACCCCTGAACTAGACGCTCCACCTCCAGAAGAACATTTCCACCAACTGTCCCCAGTGCCTGGATCTCATCTCGGCCTTTTTGCTTCCCTGGCTTTCTTTATTCAAGTCCTAGCTAAAATCTCATCTACTGGAAGACTTCCTTTGTATCATAAATTCTAAAGGTAGTAAAGCTTCATAATGCTAGTTAATTTACTGTTTAGATTAGATTATGCTTTAATCCACTCACCAAAGGGTCTACCTACTTGGGAGTGTGCTCACCAGGAAGGAGTGTTTTTATCACTCATTCTTTTTATAATGAGATTACCTCAGCCATTAGCAAAAGTCCTTAACTTCAGCCCTTTGTCTTCCCCAAGCCCAGAGATAACATGCCCAGTTTTTAATTTCTGTGGTTGGATTTAACCTTTTTATAATTTTTTACCCTTCAGAGTAGCACCGTTTCAAAGGTGCTGAGGAGTTTAGAAAATGTGGACACATCTATAATTTCAGATTTTGTTCCATGAATTTCTTGTGGAGGAGAAGCCTAGATGTGCTTTGGAGGAGGGATAATAAGATTTATTTTACCTAAACTTAGGACCATAGTACTAGGAAGTACTGTAAGAGTAGAAGAGGAAATAGTGGGAGGCCTTTTGTATATGAGAGCTGAGTTGGGAAGGAGTTTTGTGAATGTTTAGCCTGGGTAAAAGAAGATTGGCAAGGGGAGGGAGAAGGGGAGACATAAAAGCTGTATTCAAATATTTGTAGGGCAGTCCTGTGGAAGAGGAATTTACATTTGTTTCCCTCCCTTGGAAGGGGCCACAGGTGAAGTTCTTTAAAGGGAATTTAAATTTGTTGTTGGTAAAAAACTTCCTAACAATTGGCACTGAACCAAAGGGAAATGTTCTACAAAGGGAGTTGATGGGTTTCCCTTGCTTAAAAGTTTTCAAGCTGAAGCCTATCATCACTGTTCAGAATACCAACATCCCACTCCATCATTTTCTCTGGACGTCCTCTATATGCCTGCAAGGCTCTCTCTTCTCATCTCTGCCTCCTAACTTCTCCAGCTTCCTTTAAGTCTCAATTCAAATCCCAGTTTTTACAGGAAGCCTTTCCCAACTCCTCTTAATTCTAATACCTTCCATTTTAAAATAATGTGCTACTTAGCCTATCACTTATGTTACCTAGCCTAGCTTGTTTTGTATGTATTTTGCATATTGCCTTCCCCTAATGTAACAATTGTGAACTACTTGAAGGCTGGGACTATCTTCTGCCCCTTATTGTATCCCTACCACTTAACACAGTGCCTGGAACATTTGTTGGTACTTAATATATGCTGATTAATTGATCTGTTGATTGACTGGATGACCCAACAAGACCTTCCACATTCTAATTCATCTGTCTGTTTGGGGGACAGCCCCGGCAAAGGCACTGAAAACTAGAAATGGAATGGTATGTGTGTGGGTGAGGAAAAAAGAGAGCCACAATTATTCTGTGGCAACTTTATGGACTAACAGTGTAGAAATTGCCTAACCACTTGGTGGCCTAATTTAGAAACTCCCCAACCCCTGTGAAGAAGGTAGTAAAGTCCATGATCATCTACTGTTGTCATAAGTGATGGGGGCGGGGCCCAAGCCAAGCCTCTTGCCCCAAAGGGAATCTGGCTCCTTTTTATCTGAGCCCCAGAAAGGCCTTACTGTGGTCTCAAACAGTGATTCCTTATCGACTCCCCTTATCTCCCTTTGAAAGTCCTAGCCCCACCCTTTGATCTTGTGCAGATGCCTTTCAAACTTCTGCCTTCCTGTTCCCTCCATTAGCTATTCCCATTGTCTATTCAGTCTCTCAGACCTCCCCAATTAGAATTCTTACCTAGACCCTTTTCCCAGTCCCCTTCTCTGGCCACTCAAAGTTACTTTAGTATTTAAGATCCACCCTAGCCCCTATTCAGATGCTGAGAATCTCAGGCCCACAAGGCTGAGAACCTCTCATGCCCACTGTCACCACCTCCCCAGCACCTATCTCCACCCCATTCTCCTCCGGCCTCTCCGGCTGTTCCCCATTCCCCCCAGGCCCCTCTTTCTGCTCCCCATTCTTCCCCAACCCTTCCTTCTGCTCCCCATTCTCCCCAGACCCCTCCTTCTGCTCCCTATTCTCCCTTGACCCCCCCTGTGTTTCCCTATTCTCCCCTACCCCTCCCTGTTTCCCATGCCCGCACCTCCTTGCCCATCCCCCCTTTTCCTTGGTTCTCCTTCCGTTTTCCTCTGGCTCCTGCATTCCCCCCCCCCAAACCCCAGCTCTAGAGGCTGCTCCTACTCAGGCCTTGAGCAAGGGTCTTACCTCAGCCTCTACTTCCGAAGAGACCCCAGCTCAAGCTCCAGATGAGGTTCTCAACTCAGTGCCTCCTCCCCAGACCTCTACTTCCCATGGGACCCCTACTCAGGCTGCAGACGAGGGTCTCACCTTGGCGTCTTCTCCCGTGATCCCTCCCCCTCCTCTGGTGTCAGGTAATCTTTCCCCTTGTCAGCCGGATTCCTCGGCCTTGCCAGTTCAGCCGGCGCTTTCCAGTCCCTCACTCACGAGAAGTGGGACTTCCTCCCTCCCTCCCCCACAAACCCCTGCTCCTGCAGGGCCTTCAGGGCTTTTTCCTTTAAGGGAAGTACCTGCCTCTCCTAATGGGATACTTAGGGTGCATGTTCCATTCTCCATTTCAGACCTCACCCAGATTAAGGAAAGGCTGGGTCGATACTCTGAAGATCCCACTAAATTTACTGAGGGCTTCAGGGATGTGTCCCTACAATTCTAACTTTCTTGGGCTGATCTGCATGTCCTCTTCTCCACCTGTTGTACCCCTGAGGAGAGGAAGAGAATTTGGCAACAAGCCCAAAATTTTGGGGATCGTTTTGCTAGCAATGACCCCACAAAATACCCCCCCAGGAACAGCTGCTGTTCCTGCTTGGGATCCGGGGTGGGATTATCAGAAGAGTGAGGATAGGGGAAAGAGGAACTACATGGTAATTTGCCTCTTAGAAGGCCTGAAAATAGCATTTCAAAAGCAAGTAAACTTTCAAAAGATTAAGGGAATTACTCAGGAAGAAAAGGAAAATCCTGCCCTTTTCCAAGATAGGCTAGTAGAAGGCATTAAAAAGTATACGAATTTAGATCCTTACTCTACAGAAGGGGCAGCAATCCTTAGCATGTTATTTCATTAACCAATCTGCCCCAGATATTAGGACAAAATTACAGAAATTGGCAATGGGACCCCAAACACCTCAGGCCCAGTTATTGGAGATTGCCTTTGGAGTCTTTAACAAGAGACTTAGTTGCAGGAGGAGAAAGAACGCAGGCAGAGGGCTACAGACAAAGAACATGCCTGATTCCTGGCTGCTGCCATGGTCAGGAAAAGACCCAAGGGTGTTCCTGGCAACCTGGGCAGTGAGAAAACCTGCTTTCGATGCCACCATGAGGGTCACTGGTCCAAGGAGTGCCCCTCCAAGGTACCCCCTTGGAGGAAGCCCAGCAACTCTGGCAGGGGAGGCCACAGGGAGTCTCACTGGTCCAAGGAGTGCCCCTCCAGGGGGCCCCCTTGGAAGAAGTCCCCAAGACGGACATCTCCAGCACCTTGCCCAAGATGTGACCAGGAGGGACATTGGAAGAAGGATTGGCCCTGAGGTAGGAGAAGTGGTAGAGCAGCCCCCTAGTACCCTGTCCTCCAGTCTTCTGAAGACTGGGGAGGACAAGGGAGCCTGGGTGCGGGCCACACTCCCACTTTCTCCATCTCTCTCGCCAAGCCCTGGGCAGAAATTGAGACTGAAGGTAAGGTTACCCACTTTTTCATGGCTATGTTCTTTGCTTTAACCAATTACTCTGGCCCTGTTTGCTCCATCTAGTCATGGGCATTCCAGAGGTAACTGAGGAATGTCTCCAGACATACCCCTCCCCCTGCCTATTTGAGAATCTGTTTTTTAAACACTCCTCCCTTATGCTCTCCTCTTGGCCTGCCCCCTCGTTGGGAAGGGACCTAATGGTGAAGTTAGGCAGCCAGTTTTCTCTAGTTAAGGCTCCTATCTCCCTTTTCCCTCTGTGTGCCAGACCTCCCCATGTTCCACTGGAAGTGTGGGAGACAATTTGGGATACTTTTGCCACCTCAGCCATTGTTCACCTCCGAGACCCTAAAGTATTCTCCTATTGCTGTATTTGTAGTCCCACCCAGGAGGTTTCTTTGTCCATTGCCTCAGGAGTGCTTAATTTCTTGGGAACTCAAGGCTATAGGGTCTCTTTGAACAAAGTTCAGATAGCATACCAGTCTGTAAAGTTTCTGGGCCAGGAATTCCCTGTCCCAGCCACTAAGAAACAATTTCGAACTTTTATAGGCATGGATAGATTTTGTAGACTCTGGATCTCTGATAATAGTTTGATTGTTAAGCCCCTTTATGACTGTCCTCTGGACCCTGACTCACTCCCTCAAGAGTGTGGCTCAGACCAGACTAAACCTTTTGTGATTTTAAAATCTAAATTGACCTCCACACCCCTAAATCAGTCCTTAGGAGTCGCTGGAAAGCCTGCAAGCTTCCTGGTGGTGGCTGCCACAGTCATTCTAGTTGAGGAAGCCTCTAAATTTGCATCTGGCCTCCAAAAGTGGGGAAATAGTTCCCTAGTTAAATTGGGAAGCTCTTTAGAACACTCCTACCCACACCCACACGTTAACTCTCATCTCCACAAAGCTCCCCTCCCCAATACGACTTTCTCAGAAGTTTATGCCACTTCGTTTATGCTTGCCACTTCTCTATGGGCTACTCTCTCTGTATCCACACCTTGCTTCTCCACAGGGGAATATTCCCTTACTTGGGAGACAAGCTCCAAGGCCACTAGACAAGTTAACACCCCTGTGGAGGAAGGGCTTGTTAGAGTTTCTGCTAGTATTTTGACCTGCACGACCTGTGCAGACAACACTAGTGACAAGAATTTTGGGGAAAAGGCGAAACAAAGTGCCAATACATGGCAAGACCCCAGAACTACTGTTTTGGTCACTCAGTGTTTGACACCCTACAAAGACTTTGGGGTGTGCACTCTCAGACTTTTAGCACTCCCCTTCTCCATTTTCAATGCCAAACAGCCCAGAGTCTCTAACTTAAAGGTAAAACATGGATTTTGGGGAAATGTCCTCTGGTCTCTTAAAAAGGGAGCAGACTATCTTATGCCCTGGTATAACCTACAACATGAACATATTCTCTCTAACCTTGTAGAGACTATTTACCAGTTGGCAAATGTGACAGCTTATGATCCCCCGGAAATCCAGCAATCTCTGGATTCCTTAGCAAAAGTAATTCTAGACAATAGAATAGCCCTGTGCTTTAGCAAACACATTTTGTTGCACGTATAACAACTCTGGACAGATAGTTCTGCACTGCTCATGTTTTGGAAAAGGCTAGTTGGATGCAAGAAATTCACAATAACTTTAGTGCTCCAAAACCTTCTTCATGGGAGTCCTGGCTTCTTCCTATACTGGCCCCTATCCTCATTCCACTACTGATCATTCTTCTCTTGTGTTTGTTTGGTCCATGTTTACTAAATATTCTTGCCAGATTCCTTTCTTCTAGGGTCGGAGCCATCAAATTCCAGATGACTGTCTACCAACCCAAGGTCTCTAGTCCACTGAACCTGGCATCAGCCAGGTTTTGAAGTTTGACCCCACGGGACCCAGAGAGGCAGGGACAGCTCTACGCCCCTTGCCAGCAGGAAGCAGTTTCAGAAGCAGAGACCTTCATCCCTTTCACCAAAAGAATTTGGTTCCGATTTGTTTGAGGGGGGAATGATGGGGGCGGGGCCCAAGCCAAGCCTCTTGCCCCAAAGGGAATCTGGCTCCTTTTTATCTGAGCCCCAGAAAGGCCTTACTGTGGTCTCAAACAGTGATTCTTATCGACTCCCCTTATCTCCCTTTGAAAGTCCTAGCCCCACCCTTTGATCTTGTGCAGATGCCTTTCAAACTTCTGCCTTCCTGTTCCCTCCATTAGCTATTCCCATTGTCTATTCAGTCTCTCAGACCTCCCCAATTAGAATTCTTACCTAGACCCTTTTCCCAGTCCCCTTCTCTGGCCACCCAAAGTTACTTTAGTATTTAAGATCCACCCTAGCCCCTATTCAGATGCTGAGAATCTCAGGCCCACAAGGCTGAGAACCTCTCGTGTATGCTCCTCTTTACGGGTGACACCCGGCTGAGAATCTCTCCTGCCCCAAAGGCTGAGCCATTCTCATGCCCGCCTGTCCTTACAGGCGTCACCTGGCCTCTGTGATTTATCACTAATAAACTTTTCCTCTGGCTGAAGAAGATTTGAGTTGAATTCATTCAGCAGTGCCTGGTACCATGATCTTGGTGATTTTCCAGCACCCCAAAAGTCCTAGACCTCTTCAATAAGTACTTGCTATCCTTGGATAAGAGACTTGCAATTAATTACAAAAGTATTTATACTTTTTCTTTCTCCTTTTTTTATTATTCTGATAATAAATCTTGCCACTTGAATTTAAAATACTCCCCATTTCCCCCTTGACTGATTCCCTCTTCTTCTATTCCTCCTGTAAAATACTTTACTTTTTCAAGTTGCTGCAGAATGCTGCTGATTGGCTGTGGGTCTGATCTAATAAGAGTTATTTTTTGTTCAGTGATTTGATTATTACCCTTAATCCAGTTCCCTAAAAAAGGCCTTTTGTCTTATCTACTTTCCCATAGGGATAAGATTGGATAGGGTCTTTGTAGATGAGAGAAATATTATTTCTTAATATTTCTAGAGAAACTAGGAAGATTTGTTTTAATATGCTTCTGCACCATACTACAATTTTTATGTTTTCTAACTTCAACTGGGCCCTCACTGCAGCAATCTTTTTTTTTCTCCTTCTAATTCGTTCACTATCCCACAATCCACAGAGTTTATTTTAAACCTCTCCTCAAGCTTTCCACATGTCTCATTCCTTCATCCTTTCAGTTGGGCACCCCAGCTTTTACAACAATAGTGGTAATGATAATAACAATGACAGTAGTAGCATTTATATAATCCTTTAAGGTTTGCAAAGTGCAATACAAATATTATCTCATTTGATCTTCACAACAACCTTGGGATGCAGACACTATTATTATCATCCATATTTTACAAATGAGTTAGTGTGTGTAAAGGGCTTTATATATTATGGAGTACTAATTTAAGTATAAATTATTCCCTTTGCTTTAAAAAATTAAATTTTTTACTGAGAAAATTGAGGCCATTTGATATGAACTTCCTCTTCTATCTCCAAATCCCTTTATATCCCCCTTTGCTAAGAGACCACCTTGAATATGAAATCTTTCATGACTTTTCCTCCCTACTTCTTCCCCAGATCCCCTAATGCTAGAGTCTTTCCTCTTTACCTTGTATTTTACTACTTTTCATTTATTCTCTCTGTTTATTACAATATAATTATATAATGTGACATTTTGAAGAATGTTATAATTTATATATACTGAGTTTATAAATATTGTATTTATTATTTATGTTTACTTATTTAGATAAGTACATGTTGTCTTTTCCAATATACAGTGTCAAATAGAAAAGGGAAGCGGGTGTGTCACAAAAACATACATTT